CGGCTCACCGCAACCTCCACCTCCTGGGTTCAGGCAATTCTCCTGCCTCAGCCTCCTGAGTAGCTGGGATTACAGGCACGCACCACCATGCCCAGCTGATTTTTTTGTATTTTTAGTAGAGATGGGGTTTCACCATGTTGACCAGGCTGGTCTCGATCTCTTGACCTCGTGATCCACCCGCCTCGGCCTCCCAAAGTGCTGGGATTACAGGCTTGAGCCACTGCGCCCGGCCGACAATAGTTTTATTCCAATTCTTTATAGGCATCTTGGGGACCATATTTATCATTAGAAGCATTGAACAATTTATGTTTAAAGTCTGTGAGTTTCACTTCTGTCTGATGCATAACTTTTTGAATCTGTGTATGTTGCTATCTCTCAAAATTTTACCCAAGTCTCACTCAGTATTTGTGATTCTACACTTGACCCCTTATAGGGTTGCTTTTTGTTATGGTCTTTAAAAGGTGCACTTACTTGGTTGTGTAGAGCTTCATTTTGAAATCCCACTCCCAGGAATATTGTGTGGGAAATCTGTACAATATCTGTGTCAAGTTATTTTACCTTTTTTATTTTAAAAAAATGATTTCTTCAAAACATCTAAACGTAGCATTGTTATAGATCATTTTTGTAATTAATTAGTAGTGGGTATAGCTGCATATATTAGGAAACCCAAACTTAACATGGCTTAAGCAAAGTAGAAGTTTATTGGTCTTCATAAGTGTGCAGTGAGGTACTGCCACAGATGATCAGGGACCCAGGTTACCATCCTGGTGCTCTGCCCTTGAGGTGTGTGACTTCCATTCATAAGTCACCTTAAGGGAGGATGGCAGGCAGATGGATAGAAAAGAGGCTCCTTCTGGCCCTGTCAGCTTGGTTAAGGCAACGTTGGCCATACCTGGTTTCAGGAGCAGCTGACAGATGTGGTCTTTTGTTCCAGGGCAGTGTAAAAAGGAGAATACATGTTGGGTTGGCAACTGTTGGTGCCTTGCACTAGCAGTGGAGTATAATTACAGGAGTGCCCAAGTGATATGAGAGACTGAAACATCACCTCCCTGGTACTCTCTGTTACCTCAAGGATTACAACTAGGAAAAAATGTGTTGTAGGTGCTATTTCTCTTAACATTCTTTCTAAATACCAGACTTTTACCTTTTTTTTTTTTTTTTCTAGACAGAGTCTTGCTGGAGTGCAGTGGTGTAATCGCACTGCAGCCTTTACCTCCCAGGCTTAAGTGATCCTACCACCTCAACTTCCCAAGTAGTTGGAACTACAGGTGCATGCTGCTGTGTCTGACTAACTTTTCTACTTTTTTTTTGTAGAGATGGGGTTTCACTATGTTGCCCAAGCTAGCCTCAGGTGATCCGCCCACCTCAGCCTCCTGAAGTGCTGGGATTACAGGCCACTACTCCCGGCCTTACATTTTTCATTTCTTTTTTCTCTTTTTTCTTTGCATTTTTTCTGCTTGATCAGGTTTTCTTGATTAGACTTCCCTTATTCTTTTCTTCCCCTCATGCTTAACATAAGTATTTCCTGTCCCTTTTTTTTTTTTTTTTTTTTTTTGAGTCTGTGTCACTCTATTGCCCAGGCTGGAGTGTAGTGACATCATCTCGGCTCACTGCAGCATTCGTCTCCTGGGTTCAAGCGATTCTGCTGCCTCCAGAGTAGCTGGGGTTATAGGCATGCACCACCACGCCCGGCTAATATTTTTTGTATTTTTAGTAGAAACATGGTTTCACCATGTTGGCCAGGCTGGCTCCAGACCTCAAGTGATCCACCCGCCTTGGCCTCCCAAAATGATGGGATTACAGGCGTGAGCCACTGAACCCCAAATGTTAGTTAATCTTCCTCTCCTCCATAATTAGCAGTACAGAGACTTACTAGACTCCTTCTGCTTAAGTCGTTCCCCATCCCCACTCCCCATTTCTTGATGTCCTGGTCTGATATTTGACTTCTACTTATTTTATACCCTCCAGGATTATTATTTTTGAGAATTACCTTCTTCTTTACCTATTTACCAGTTTCTTATTGCTGATCTTTAGGTATTTATTTTTTTATCCATACAGCTTCTTTAGGCTTAAAACTACTCTCTCTAAAGTATATTCGCTATTAGATTGTTATGTGGATATTCGGAGAAGGTAATCTGTATCTCCTAATGAGAAATGTTTTTATTTTACCTCCTTGGGTGACAGTCAGTGGATAACAAGTTCTAAGTGGATAGTTATTTTCCCTGCAGCCCTTGGAGAATTTCTGCATCATGGCCTGGCCTCTGTTCTAGGGAGACTAGTGTCAGTCTGATTGTTGTTCATCTTATGTTTTTTTCAACTGGCTTTCACTATTCTTTTTATCTGTAAAATTCTACAGTTTTACTGTCATGCATCTTGTAATTAATTCACATTTATCCTCCTTGGGATTCATTTTTCTACTTCAGTCTGTGAATTCCTGTCTTCCATGAATTCTGGGAATTTTTTTAGCTGTTATCTGTTCAAACATTGTCTCTCACTTTTTTCCTCCAGTGTTTCCCTATAGAACTAATGTTCAGTGTACTTGTAACCTTCATATCCTCCATGTTCAGTATGCACTGTTTCATATTTTTACATCTGTTGTTAATCTCAGTTCTGTTTTTCATTTTTCCGTTGTGTCTGATGGGGTATTTAATGTATCTTTTGGATTTCTAATTTTATTGGCTCTTAGATTTTATTTCTGGAAGTTATGTTTGGCTATTTAGCATGTCCTTGGTTTTGTTTGTTTGTTTTTGAGGCAGAATTTTGCTCTTGTCACCCAGGCTGGAGTGCAATGGCGCAATCTTGACTCACTGCAACTTCTGCCTCCTGGGTTCAAGCAATTCTGCTTCAGCTTCCTGAGTAGCTGGGATTACAGGCGTGCAGCACCATGCCCGGCTAATTTTTTTGTATTGTTATTAGAAATGGGGTTTCACTGTGTTGGTCAGGCTGGCCTTGAACTCCTGACCTCAGGTAATCTGCCCGTCTCGTCCTCCCAAAGTGCTGGGATTACAGGCATGAACCACCGCACCCGGTCCAGCCTGTCCTTTTCTCAGTAGCCTTTTAACCTTTCCTTATATTTATACTTTTGGTCTTCAGCACTTCCTAGAGTCCAGCATCTTTGCATTCTTGTGCGGCGGCCCTTCTGTATGATTCACCTGCCGTCTCTCACTCATGGTCAGGTTGTGGTGTTTGACTGGGAAAGTTGTTTTCTCTCTTTTGAGTTCTCTCAGGTCTTGATTGTGGAGATGACTTTCTGGTTGGTTTTACTTGCTTCTGCAGCATACCCTGTAAGATTTTAGGTTCCAGGATTCCTGTATCAAGTGTCCGTTATGACTTATTTCTGCTAGCCTGCATGGGGCACAGATCTGAGACTTCCATATCTCAATGGAAACTTTGTTCCTTCCCTACTCCAATCACTAGACAGAAACAGCATCCCTGTATCGCATCATACTGCCTCCTGATAGCTTTTGAGCCGTTGTCAGGGATTTGGGATGTACTTGTTCTTAATAGTTTGTTTTCTGTGTATTAACAGTGTTTATAGAGTGGTCTCAGCATTCACAGCAGATTTAGTATAAGGTTGTCTACCTAGGTGTTTTGTTTTGTTTTGTTTATCTTTTTGTAACTGGCAATACCTGACTATGGAATCAGGGAGGACTTAGGAAACTTAAGGAAACCCTGAGAAGTAGGAACCTAAATAACATGATGGAATCAGAATACAGTTGAGGAGGTGAGTGGCACTGGATTTGAAAGAAGCCCTTGAAGCCTTAGGGAAGAAGAAATAAAATATTTAGAGAGCACTTCTTATGGGCCAGGCACTTTTATAATACTGTAACAATTTCCCTGAGAAGTAGGTTCTCTCTCTGCTTTAGTGTTGAAGAAACTGAGGATCACGGAGGTCAGTGATGTACATAAGCTTCTGGAGTTACCAGTAGCTGTAATGCAGACAGGATCTGTCTGACAGACTCTACAACCCATGTTCTTTTCACTGAGTCTTCTTGCCTTTTGTATGAGTTAGTCAGCTTTCATGAATTTACTTCAAGTTGTCATTCTTTTCTTTTCCTGATTTCCTAGCATCTGTATTTTCTTATGGATGACCAATGCTGTTAAAAGGTATCAATGAGTATAGTGTTTCTCCATCTTTTCTGGCTGCAGTGCATTTTGTAGAGCAACCCAGTACTGGACCAATACAGATACATAGTTCCTTCATTCACTCTGTACCATGGTTCTGATACTTTCCTTTCTTTTACTGTTTCCTCTAGTTAAAATAGACTGATTGTGACTAACTTGGTCTCACAGCTTTTTAACAGTTTGCAACCCATAATTTGAGCCCATGATTTTGAAGCATGGCTCATGGCTGGAGTATAGATCAGCAGAGGACTTAACACAAGTATGCTCAGGAGCACATTCCCCTGTCCCAGCTGGGCTCACATCTGGCTCCAGTGTAGCCACCACCCACATTCTCCCCACTCTCCAGCAGGAGTGTGAGGATTCCTCTTAAACAGCATTCCACCATTAACTTTAGACGTTGGGAACATATCCCACTTATTCTTTAGTGGCTTCCTATAGATGACGTTTCTTTTTAAGTCACTTGACTGTACAAGATCATAACTCACTCTGCCTGTTCTTACCTTTGATCTTATTTTATATTTTCTTCCTCTTTAGCTTATTCCAGATTTTTCTGAGATACTTTATGTAGCAACTTCATTCTTAAGCAAGTTTTAAAACCAAAGCATTTAAGATTTGCCATTCATTCATCTTGGAATTCTAGCTTATTTTTCTTTTTTATTTTAGTAGTACAAGTAGTTTATTAAAAATAAAATTTGTGGAAAAATATTTTAGTGTACCATGCTCTGTTATTACTTTTCAAAGACAAGAAATCAAAGATCAATATGCAGATAGGGTAGGATGACAACACCATGTTGTTGTGCCTGCCACCAAGGTAATATGATAGCATGTAACGTGAATGTGTAATTGACATGTACCACTCTTTATCTCTTCCCTAGCCCTCCAAGCCACAAAATTGTGGTGAATGGAAAAGAATGTATAAACTTTGCCTCATTTAATTTTCTTGGATTGTTGGATAATCCTAGGGTTAAGGTGAGTAGCACATAATGCTGAAGTGGACAGATAACATTACGATTTAAGAAACTGGACATAAAAGACAAATGCAGGCCCGGCATGGTGGATCACTTGAGGTCAGGAGTTCAAGACCAGCCTAGCCAACATGGTGAAACCCCATCTCTACCAAAAATTACAAAAATTAGCTGGGCATGGTGGCACACACCTGTAGTCCCAGCTACTGGGGAGGCTGAGGTGGGAGAATCTCTTGAACCTGGGAGGCAGAGGTTACAGTGAGCCAAGATGGTGCCACTGTACTCTAGCCTGGACAACAGAGCAACACTCTGTCTCCAAAAAA